TGGATTTTGTTATTCAATGTCCAATATTGAAAAAATCATCAAAATTCAACGGATAACTTTTGATAGAACTAAAAAAAATTGACTTGTCGAAAATATTTCTGCTAGCTATTTGACGGAATTTCGATAAGAACCTTCAGACCCCTTGAATAGTGGTTAAGCATACATTGACATGAATTTGAATTTTATCATATCATACAATGTTCAATATTGAAAAAACATCAAATTTTCAACGAATAACTTTCGATAGAATTATCCAATTAAAAAATTAACTAGTTTCGAAATATTTTTAATGATTTTTTTCGATTACATGAGCAGGTAGATATACTCATATCTCAGTCTTTTAGTTCAGCCCGTCGCAACCTGGAAAAAACTCCTAATCGTATCGTTGTGAACCCCCAAAAATCATCGGAAGAACGTGTTGTTGACAGGTACAAAAATATTTTTTTATTTTTCTTATAAAATGAATAAATAATATTTGTACAATTATAATTCATCTTATTAGGAGTAAAAAAATAAAATTTCAAGTTAGATTATATTTACGTATAAAAATAATATCATTTTTCACGACATAATATCAATAATAGTGACTAACAAATATAACATGAGAGAACTATTCACTTATGTGACATATATAATGAGCTTTGAAAGAGGGAAGTATTTGAAATATAAATTTGGCTTAAATTATTAATATCATTCTCGAATTATTAAAAAAACATCTTTTTACTTGATTAATTAAACTTAGATATACACCCGATCTTGCAGTAATATGAGTGAAATACATTATTAAATTCTCGTCAAGTTTAGAGCTGCTTTCGGTACTTTTCTCGACTTTTCATTAAGAGTCACATGCTCTTACAAGAGTTTGAAACCACTTGATATGCCATGTTGTATATCGGGAGTATATCTAAGTTTAGTTAGCCAAGTAGAACGGTATATATAAGACTGTCAATAGTTTGAAACAAAATTAATAATTTACATCAAGCTCGAAGGTGTTTTCAATACTCATCTCACTTTAAAATAAAATAAATAAGAGAATTTAATTTATATACATCCATAAAGTTCAAAATATGAATTTTCTTCCTTTTTTTTTAATGGCAAACAACTAATTTTTTTTTTTATTTTGAAAATTTGCTGCAGCCTCCCTGTAGTTTTAGTAAATGGTACATTTGACCAGCATATTATGATATCATGGGGAGATGACAGAGGAAAAATACTTGAAAATGGAGAGCTTTTAACACTCTCCTTAGACAAGAAGTCTGGATCAGGCTTTCAGTCTAAAAAAGAGTACCTCTTTGCTAAAATTGATATGCAAATTAAGCTCGTCCCTGGAAATTCTGCTGGCACTGTTACTACGTTTTACGTAAGCCTTCTTTACTAACCTTTGCATGAAAAAAAAATCGATTTTTCTTATGATATACTCTTGGTCCTTCAATTATTGATATATTATTTGACATGTGTCCTATCGGTCCATTTATATGAAAAATATGACATATTTAGAAAAAAAAATACAAATCATGTTATCATCAATTATAGAGTATTAGTATAAACTTAACATAACAGATGCTTAATAACATAGTGGAGCATTCAACAATTATGTTATACTTTTGGTCCTTCAATTATTGATGTATTATGATTTTGGTCCTTGTATTATCTGGTTAAGCATCTTTGACCTTCGATCAATGGAAATGTTTCTTATCGATCCATTTATGAGAGAATTATGATCTATTGAGAAAAATTTTCGAATAATGTTATCATCAATTATAGAGTATCAGTACAAACTTAACGTAACATATCCTTAATTATATAGTGGAGCATTTAACAATTATTGATATATATGACTTTGGTCTTTGTGTTAGCTTATTAAGTACATTTGACCTTCAATCCACGGAAATGTGTCTTATCGATCAATTTATGTGAGAAGTATGACATATTTGAATAATTTTTCGAATTATGCAATCATCAACTATATGAAGTAACAATACAAACTTAACGTCTTTTTTTTTTCTTTTGTTTGTAGCTATCATCACAAGGGAACAAGCATGATGAAATAGATTTTGAATTCTTGGGGAATTCAACAGGGAACCCTTATACTCTTCATACAAATGTTTTTAGTTTAGGCAAAGGCAATAGGGAACAACAATTCTTCTTGTGGTTTGATCCAACTGCAGATTATCACACATATTCAATCCTATGGAATTCTAAATGTATTATGTAAGTACTTTTATTATATTTGTCTCTGTTCATTTTTACTTATTTACTATACTAACTTTCTTGCTTTACGTTTCTCTTAGTATAACTCTCTTCGCCGGTCTCTACTTGTCACTAATTGTTCAACAATATTTGTTCAGTTTGGAAAATCAAAAGATAATTTATCGTTTTTTTTCTATTTTACCTTGTTGTTAAATGTTAGTCAATATCTAATACGTGTCTTAAATTTAATATATTTAAAAGATAATATAGTAATATTACTTGTGTTACTTACTGTTTCTTGAGGTGCGTGTCAAGTCAATATTAAATAATATTATTGGACAGAGGGAGTACGTTTACTTTGCTTTAGAAAATTCCATTTCAAAGTTTTTTTTTTCACTTGAAGTTTACCTAAACTAGTTAATTACATAATCCATTTTCATATCAATGAGTGAGATGACAATTTCTATGATCTCGGGATAATGCACAAATACTTCCTCAACTTTTGTTCGTAATCTCAGAGACACATTTATACTATACTAAGGTCCTGTTACCTTCTTGAACTTATTTTATTAATAATTTTCTATCCCTTTTCGGCTTACGTGGCACTATTTTGTGGGCCCAACGCTGGTTGACTTTTTTTTCCCAAGTTTGTGTCATGTAGGACGAAAAGGGGTAGAAAATTATTTATAAAATAAGTTCAGGGGAGTAATAAGACCTTAGTATAGTATAAGTGTGTCTCTGGAATTTCGGGCATAGGTTGAGGGGGTATTTGTACATTTTTTCTATAATCTTTATCGATGCTTATTTCATGAAATAGTTTTGAGGTTGAGTTATGCTCAACATCCATTATTTTTCATGATTTTATAATAAGTAGAATGCCAATTCATCTCCTTATATGATCTTCGATCCTTACCCGTTTGAGCTAGCTATTGAAATATTGATTGCAATATCAAAAGTATTACATTTTCTTATGAGATATTTCCTCATTTTTGTTAATGTAGATTCTATGTTGATGATATACCAATTAGAGAATACAAAAATCCAGAGAGACTTGGTCTTTCATATTTAAAATACCAACCAATGAGACTATACTCAAGTCTATGGAACGCAGATGATTGGGCTACACAAGGTGGTCGTATCAAAACCAATTGGGAACTAGCACCTTTTGTAGCGTCCTACAAAAATTTCACATATGAAGCTTGTATTTATTCAAGATTAACTAGTTCATCTTCATGTGATATCGACTCTCCAACTCCTATCAACAACGCTTGGTTAACATATGAGTTAGATCGAACAAGTCGTGTTAGAATGAAAGCTTTGCAGAAAAAACATATGATTTATGATTATTGCAACGATAAATGGAGATTTCCTAAAGGTCCTGCTCCTGAATGCAAGCTTCTTCAATAACATTATAGTTTTTTTTGTTTATTATGTATAATGTTTAATATATTTTGTATTTTTGAATTTTAGGTTTAAATTCCTAGGAGAAAAGAAAAAAAAAGGAACATTTTAGTTCCTTTTTAGAAAATTAAAGTTACTTTTAGTTTGGGCCATTGGGCCTAGCTAGAACTTTGAGTATTTTTCAAAAAAAAAATAGTTATATTTGCTAAATATGATTTATAAGTTATATTTATTCAGATATGTAATTTTCTTAAAAAAAATGCATTTATAAGTTATATCATTTATTTTGTGAAACATTTTGTTAATTTCATTGACCATTAATATTTTGTAACATGAACATTGCATAAACTTTTAAATATCAATTTATTTGTTATTGATTTTCTAGCTGTCTCCATTGATTGACGCATTAAAAGATCTTTATAGTAAAAAATATAAAATATATAATATATGGTTTTTCAACTAGCTAGAAAGTAATATGTGAAAAGAAAATAAGGAAATATTACTCATTGGTTCTTAGAAATTTCTACATGAGCCAATAGAATATCCTAGAGTTTTCCCCTTCCCACTTGCCTATGTATTTCCGATATATTATTATTTTTTTATATTGAAATTTGATTTTTTAAATTTTAAATTTTTTATGTATAAATATTTTCCAAATAAATATTGGCATTATGAATTACTTTTTGTTTCTTAGATGAACTAATTCTGTGAATATTTGTCTATATTATTGGTGTATACATATATATATTGCATAATATTAAAATTTTGCCACATCCAAAAGAAAAGTAGGTGAAGAGTTATATTAGCCATTAGATTAAGTCCTTTTATCTTGTTAGATAATAAGTACTTAATTAGTTTTACCAACCTATCTATTTAAAACCTCAAAAGTTAATGTTTTTTAGGGTTCCTACTATTTTACTCTTGCGATTTAAATTTAAAATTTTTAATTAAAAATAAATTATTCATTATATAATTTTTGTAAAAATATATTATTAAATTATAAAGACTTACGATAATAATAACATATTCAGTAAAATTTTATAAAGTGAAAACGGTTATAACTCATTTTTCAAAATCTATCAACTACCTCAAGGCAATATAAAAATGGTGAAGGTGTTTATCTTCTCCAAGAAAACTAAAAAGTCCAAAAAAAATCATGTCAACTTTATGAATAAGAAGAATTTGTAGTTTTGTTTACATGATGATGTGTAATGATGACTAAACTATTTTATAAACTTTGCTAAACCATCAAATTAAGCCACATCAGATACATTAGGGCCCACACACTATTATAGTGGATGCCACCTGTCCTACTCAATTACCAAAATAGCCCCTCCAATTTCTATGAACTTTCTTTAGGTCCTAACAATTTTCACCCCTATATATAGTATATGGGATATACAAAGTTACATATATACAAACTTTTGACTTATTTTTGAAAAAACAAATCAAGAAATTTCACTAAAATTGAACCAATTATTTTCAATGGCTTCCTTAGTTCTTTGTTTGGTCATTTTGGCATTTTGCTCTTTACATTATAGTTTGGCTTCTAATAATTTCAATCAAGATTTTGATGTTACATGGGGAGATGGTAGGGCAAAAGTTTTAAACAATGGCAAACTTCTTACTCTTTCCCTTGACAAAGTTTCTGGCTCCGGTGTTAAATCCAAGAAAGAATATTTGTTTGGAAGGATTGATATGCAACTTAAGCTCGTACGTGGAAATTCAGCTGGTACAGTTACTACATATTACGTAAGTATTATCGTACTAGTGATGCATATCATTTGAACTATACTAAGAATTGAAGTCATGTGACAATTTACTATTTTGAATATCATATGAATTTACTAAGAAATTGTTTTATATCAATTTTGTATGTACTATATAGTTATCATCACAAGGGTCAACACATGATGAGATAGATTTTGAATTCTTGGGAAACCTTAGTGGAGATCCTTATATTGTTCATACAAATGTGTATACTCAAGGCAAAGGTGATAAGGAACAACAATTCTACTTATGGTTTGATCCCACTGCTGATTTTCATACCTACTCCATTCTTTGGAATCCACAAACAATTATGTAAGTAAATAAAAATCAATCTCCGCTTACTTTTACTTATCCACTTTAAAAATTTTATATATTTGTTAAAAAAATTAGTATGTGATTGATATAAATATTTTATTATAATATTCATATTTATAGTCTTAAATCTTGAGAAATAATCCCTCCCCTAGAATTCACATCTTTACTTCGTTGGTGACTCGAACTTATAACATTTCTCTTTGATCTTTTGTTGATTCAAGCTTACAACCTTATGGTTGAAAGTGATCATGATGCTTACCATCCGAGCAATCCCATCGTGTCAGTAATGAATTAAAATCTTGATAATAAAACATGAAAAAGTACTTATTTTTTCTTGATTCGTTGAAAGTGACAAAGTAAAAATAAACAGAGAAATAATATATATCCTTAGTAATAATTAATAGAATCAAAAGCTCAAAATATACAAAGTCAATATAAAGATCTCTCTCTTGTTTTTTCCACCATAAAGTTCTACAAATTTAATTTTATCTTAATATTGACTTAATTATTCTTTTTTTTTTGTAGATTTTATGTGGATGGCACACCAATAAGAGTGTTCAAAAACATGGAGTCAAGTGGAGTACCTTACCCAAATAAACAACCTATGAGAGTCTATGCAAGTTTATGGAATGCAGATGATTGGGCCACAAGGGGTGGCCTTGTTAAAACAAATTGGTCCAATGCTCCATTCATAGCTTATTTTAGAAATTTCAAAGACAATAATGCTTGTATTTGGGAATTTGGAAAATCATCATGCACAAATTCAACAAAGTCATGGTTCTATCATGAACTTGATTCTACAAGCCAAGCTAGGTTACAATGGGTGCAAAAGAACTATATGGTTTATAATTATTGTAATGATATTAATAGGTTCCCTCGAGGCCTTCCTCTAGAGTGCGCTTTCAACTCTACGACTAATTAAATCTAGGTTTTCAGACTCTTTTAAAATGTTATCATATGCATGTCAATCTGATGTACACATGCAATCGACATTTTCTGAGAGGAGGGCACTTTCAATTCTACGACTAATTAAATCTAGGTTTTCAGACTCTTTTAAAATATTATCGTATGCGTGTCAATCTGATGTACATATGCAATCGATATTTTCTGAGAGGAGGGCACTTTCAACTCTACGACTAATTAAATCTAGGTTTTCAGACTCTTTTAAAATGTTATCATATGCGTGTCAATCTGATGTACATATGCGATCGACATTTTTTGAAAATACGAGAAACGTTGATTTTCTTAGTTTTAGATATGTAATTGATTATTATATTCCTCTTGTAATTTACTAAACTTTATTCTTTATATACTCCTTCATATATCGAATTGAAAAGAAAAACAAATCAGAATCAATTATTTTTTTACTAAAAAAATATCGTGAATGAAAAAAATCAATTCACATTGAGGATAATTACCATGAGTGAACATTTGGGATTGTTAGTCCCAAAAATTTAGACAAAAATCTCATCATAATACATTGTTCATTTCATCATAATACTAACATTAGTAAAAAAAAAAAAATCATACGAAATTGTCTCAATTTTGAATGGTTTCGTTATATATGGATTATGATCGAAGTGTGTGTATGAAAAATGCTTCATAAGTTCAATTCACCAAATATTTAATAGCTTTAGTTTCAATTTCGTGTAGTTGAAGTTTTTTTTTCGATTCAAGAAATTACTTTTACATTTTTTTCAAAATTATAGAGATATTTTTATAAATAAATATTTTTATAATAAATATCAGTCGAATAATGCATAAGCAAATATTTATATACAAACATTATTAATATATTTTTGCTAATATATAAATATGACCTTTAATTTGATGTTAATGAGCGATTATGACTTTTAGCTTTGAGGGTGCACAAGCAGCCAGTTAAACTTGAATAAAAATCGAGCAAATGAACAAATTCATCCTAAATATATCTTATATGATAATTTTAATCCTATGTGTATTGTGCTATGTAGATTACTTGTTTTTACTTATTTAATTTTATATAAATTTAAATATCTGCTCACATACATTTAAAATTAAAAAACATAATTATCCACTAAAATTAAGTTAAGAGTCATATTTATATATTATATTTTTTATTTAATATTATTTTTATACGCTCGATTCACTCTAAAGGTAAGGTCCAATCAAGAAAATCTTAGAGGCTATATATATATAGGCATAATATATATATTGAACCATAAATTTAACTTCAAATTTTAACTTTGACCTTCTACTTTCATAATACACAAACAAACACTTTAATAATCCAACATTTTAATAAATAAACACATGAGTCCTACATGACATAATACACGTAGAACATCATGTTGGATAAAAAATGACATGTGGGACATGAGTGTCTATTTGCTCAACTTTATACAAATTTAAGTATCTATTTATGCACACCTAAAATTAAAGGATATAAATATAATTCAAAATCAAGTTAATTGGCACATTTATATATATTATATATATATATATATATATATATATATATAAAGTTAGGTCCAATGAAATAAGCCAACAAAAGAAATGATAACTCATGTTTTCTTTTTATAATTTTATAGAATTCACATGATGATCTAGGTAGGCAAGAAGGTCACAAGAGGATGACACGTAGCTAAATGTTGTTGATGAGTCATAAAATGGTGAAATATAAGTCAGAGTAATCAAGTGATCACTCGGCACTGGCATCGAATCGTTTGATATTTATATTAAAATTTAGTTAAATTTAAAATTTTACAAAAAAAATTTTATATAAAAATAAAATATTTTTTAATAAAATAATTTCATATTTAAAAAGTTGTATATTCATTCTTAATTCAGAATGAAGAAATATTTATCATATCGTTTTTCTTACTTCATCAACAAGTTTAATATTACTCACTTTTGTTTTGTACGTAATTTGTATCTAAATTTTATTTCTATCTTATAAAATAAAGAGAATACTTTTCTAAAACGTAAAAAATGAATAATAAAAGCAAAATTGAAAGCAATACATATGAAATGTTGAAAAATAAAAGTATTCTAAATGAAAAATATATTTTTTTAAATTTAATTTGGTATTTGGTAATGAATATAAAAAAAAAGTGCACGTAATCTTACAGAATCAAAGTCCAAATGTTGTAACATGCCATTTTTTAATTAATTGTATTACCTTCCAAGTCCTTTTATTTTTCAAACATAAAATGGATTAATATTATTTTACCATTAAAAAAATAAAAATTAAGTATAAATTTTTTTCAAAAAATTACTCATAACTAATAATTGATTTATAATATATCACCAATTTATTACTAAATAAAATTAATACCTAATTCTATTATTTAGCTTCGAAATTTATCCATCATTAATTCTTATTTTTATAGTAGTGCTCATTCATTCAAAAATATATTAGTTTTAAAAAAATTGACAATTTTTTTAATTTCATAAACTTACCTTATCTCCTCATCTACATTTTACTAATTAATAAATACTAAATAGCAAGCTGTTGCCAACTCTTTATTTTTCAGATGGCATTCATTGAACCACCTTTTGTGGACACAAATTTGTCTTTTTTTTCATCTAAAATTCACTATAAAAAGGCAAATTATATTCATTCCACTTTCAATATATTCTCAAATTTTTTATAAATCCACTAAAAATAACAATGCCTTTTCTATTTTCCTTTAATATTAGACTTATTTTAGTTTTAGTATTTATAAGTTGTATGGTTGTTAAATATTGTGCTAGTAATGATCTTAATCAAGATTTTGATATTACATGGGGAAATGAAAGGGGGAAAATACTAAATAATGGTGAAATACTTACTCTTACACTTGATAATATTTCAGGTTCTGGATTTCAATCAAAGAAGGAATATTTATTTGGGAAAATTGATATGCAAATAAAATTAGTTCAAGGGAACTCTGCTGGCACTGTCACCGCATACTATGTAATATTTTATTTTTACAAAAAAAAATCAAAAAAATTGGCTATTTTTGTTAATTGTTATGTTTTTTTTAATGTGGGTATTTTTTTTTTTTTTAATTTAGTTGTCATCACAAGGATCAAGTCATGATGAGATAGATTTTGAGTTTCTTGGTAATTTAAGTGGAGAGCCATATACACTACATACAAATGTGTATACACAAGGCAAAGGTGATAGAGAGCAACAATTTCACTTGTGGTTTGATCCTGCTAATGATTTTCATACTTATTCTATCCTTTGGAATCCACAAACTATTGTGTAAGTACTCTAAAACAATATTTTATTTTATTTTATAAAAAAATTTGATAATATTTCATTCATCTGTCCATTTTTACTCGTCTGTTTTTATTTTATAACAAGTTCATCTGTCCATTTTTACTTGTCAGTTAGATAATATTTCATTCATCTGTCCATTTTTACTAGTCTGTTATACGAAAACAGTTTGTTATTGTTTGGAATATCCTTATTAATTAGATACTATATACTTTGGTCCTTGTTATATCCTTGTCAATTAGATACTATATACTATGTATTTAATATCTAATATATTTTCTAAAATATTAAATTTAATGTATTTAAGAAAAAGGTGAGATAATGACATTGTTTAAACTACTTATCATTTTTCTTTTAATCTATCAAGTCAATAGTGATAATTATGATTTGAACAACTAAAAATTAATAGTGGATAAATATGATTGGACAGAGAACGTATCAAGTTTTTCTTTCCGAAATGTGTTTTGCTTACTATGAAAATAGTTCCTAGGTCATCTGATAAGAGTTCTCAAGTTCTGATAGTCCATGTTTCACTTGTTTCACTCTTAACGAGAGTTCTCAGGTTGATAATTGAGTTTCGTGAATTTTTAATGAAAAAGTATATTTAAAAATAGAAGTTATGATATATCAGATAATATATAGTATAAATAACTTTAGTTATCTTCTAGATGATCTGACAGTTGAAAAGTTTATTGTAATTTTTCTTCAGATTTTCAGTGGACAATGTACCAATAAGGGAGTTTAAAAATATGGAAAACATTGGAGTTGCATTTCCAAAATCTCAATCAATGAAACTTTATTCAAGTTTATGGAATGCTGATGAATGGGCCACAAGAGGTGGGCTTATCAAGACTGATTGGGCCCAAGCCCCATTTACAGCCTCTTATAGAAATTTCAATGCCAATATTTGCAATAATAATAATAATAATAATGATTCTTGCAAATATTTGGTAGAAAATTTGGATCCTGTGAATGAAGAAAAATTGAGAAGGGTGCAACAAAAATACATGATATATAATTATTGTACTGATAATAAGAGATTTCCTCAAGGTTTTCCTCTAGAGTGTAGTGTTAGTTAATTAATTAATTAAATTTAATTAATGTAGGTAGAAAAGTTGGTATAATAATATTAATAGCCTCCTCTAGTTTTGTCTCTTTCAAGTTTATTATATATTGTGGCCTAAGTGATAAGGGAGGACTACTATTGTAATATTTATATGTTTATGTTTTTAATAATGGAAGTTGAAAGTGTTTATGTACTTAAAAGTATTGTCTATGTGTTTGGTGATAATCGAATCATACTGAATATGCTATTGTTATTATTATTTTATTAATATTAATAGCTAGCGTAAATTGAAGTGTTAGCTTTGTGTAGATGTTTTTTTAATGTTGTTTCATACATTTTTCTCGTATGAGGTTAGATCTCGTTTTATTAAAAAGCTTTGTGTAGATGTTTTTTTAATGTTGTTTTATACATTTTTCTCGTATGAGGTCAGATTTCGTTTTATTGAAATAAGGTAACAAAGTAACGTGTTGAATTTGTCAGTAAATTTTATTCAGATATTTTAATTATGACATGTTGGTTTTAACTTAAATTAGAAGTGTTCAATAAAAATATTTTATCATATTTGATTGAAATTCTCACTAATGTTTGTTGACATATTCAGCCTTAGCTTAAATGCTTTTGTAATAGAGCAAAACATAATTCTTCAAGTACACATTACTTATAAGAGAAAATTATCAAATCATTAAGAAATTATTATCTAATTATATCTTCTCTTATCCTTTCAACACTGATAAAATAACCATATCATATAA